GTACCGTTTACAGGCCCTAAAGAATAGAAGTCCCAATAAAATTCAAAGGGTTGAAATCGTATGAAGTATGATAGCAAAATGATAGCAGAATTTAGTAACAAGGAAATTTGGGAGGATTCAAAATACAAAGATATGAACAATTCCTAATTAGCCCAGAAGAAATCCCAAGAAAAATTAGAAAACACTTTAAAATGAATAAAAAATATAACAAAACTTAAGGGATGTTTCAAAAGCAGTGCCAGAAGTAGGCATAAAGATCTTTCAAAAAATTCTAGCAAATTGAATCCATATAAAAGAACTATACACCAAGTACAAAAGGACTGTACACTAAAACCAGGTAGAATTATTCTAGAAATGCAAGGTTGACTCAACATAGAAAAATCAGTGACAGTAAATTACTACTGTAACAGAATTTTTAAAAATGAATTACATATTATGTCAGTAGATGCAGAGAATACATTAGACAAGATCCAGCACTCTTTAGGAAAAAAATTACTTATCAAGTAGTAATAGTAACTAGTTCAGTCTGATAAAGGGTATCTGCAAAATCTCACAGTTGATGAATCTAATTATGAGACTGAGAACATTTCCCGGAAGACCAGGAGCACAAGGCGTCTGCCCTCATCCTTTCTATCCAGTGTTGTGCTGGACATTTTAGCCAGGATTATGGGGCAAACCAAAAAGAAGGATGAAGGGGGGGCGTGATAGGGAGAAGAAATAAAATGAGGGGAAAGAACTCAAAACCGAGTCTTTAGATGACCCATCTTAGATATAAATCTTACAGAATTTATGCACAGATGCGTGGGAGGAATAGTACTTGAGGTAACAGGAAAAAAAAGTTGCAGTCTACAAGATAAATGTATGAACATGGACTGCATTTCTGTACCTTAGCAATGAAAAGCCAGAAAAAAACTAGGAAAATTTAATTTACAACAGAATCAAAAATAATAAAATACTTATAAATGTAATCAAAGAAGTGCAAGACTTATAAAATTAAATGAGCCCGTCTATGTTTGTGGATTGGAGGACAATTTTACAGTGGCAATATTTCCCAAAGTAATATACAGGTTCGGTGTGATCCTTAGCAAAATCCTAGCTGGTGTTTGTATTAATAAGCAAAATTCCTTTGGAAATGCAGTAAATCCAAATGGACATACATACCACATCCCCCCACACACACATACACACACAGACAAAACTAAGAGATTCACAATTCCTAACTTCAAAATCTACAAAACTACAGTAATTAGGACAGTATATAAAGATAGACATAAATAAGTGACAGATACAGAGAGCAGATACAAAGAACAGGCCAACTCGTGTGTACAGCCAGCTGATTTCCCAAGACCATTCAGTGGAATAAGAATAAATACTTGGTGCTAGCCAGGTACAGTGGCACATGCCTGTAATCCCAGCACTCTGGAGGCTGAAGCAGGAGGACTGCGAGTTCAAGGACAGCCTAGCTACACAGTGAGTTCTAAGCCCCTCTGAACTACATAGTGAGACCCTGTCTCAAACAAACAAACCATCAAAATACATAGTGCTGAAACAAGTGGGTATTAAAATGCAAAAGAATAAAGGTGGGCCCCTGCCTCACATAATATACAAAAAAATTAACACTAAGATGATGTAATGCCTAAAAGAGTTAAAGTGATAAATACCTCAGAAAAAACAAGGATGTAAGTAGTTCTGCTTTTGGATTAAATAAGTTTCTTAGATATGACACCAAAAACAGTCTTTAAAAAAGGATAAATTAGACTTCATTAAAATTAAAAACTTTCATCAAGAGGCTTGATCAAAAAGTGAAAAGATAACCCACAGAATGGGATATTTGCAAAGCAGATGTATGATAGGACTCTATTATCCAGGATATATAAAGCATCCTTCCAGTTCAATAATAAAAGTACAAGTAACCCAATTTAAAAATAAGCAAAGCATTGAACAGAAATATTTCCAGGGAAGATATACAAATAGCCTTTAAGTTTATGAAAATATGCCTAACGTCATTATTCATTAGGGAAAGACAAATCAAAGCCACAGTGATATATCACTTTATATTCATTAGAATGGCTACAATAATAAAATTTTAAAATAAAAACGTGAGGTGCAGTGGCGCACGCCTGTAATCCCGACACTGGGAGGATGAGGCAAGAGGACTGCGAGTTCAAGCCCAGCCTAGGCAATTTAGTAACTTTGCAAGACCCAGTGTCAAACAAAACATTAAATTATATTTCATTTAATTTAAAAATAAAGCAAAAACACAAACGGAAAGTAAATGTTACCGAGAATATGGAGAAATTGGAACCTTTCCACATTGCTGATGGGAATGCAAAATGTTGCAGCTGCTGTGGAAAAGTTTGAGTTTTCCCAAAAATTAAACATAGAATTACCATACGACACAGCATGTGATTATATTACCGTATGATTTGGGATATACGCACCATGGTGACTACCCCAAAGAATTGAAAATAGATAAACCAATTCGTATGCATACTAACTCATAGCTCCTTCCAGACTCAGCCTATCCTCCTAGGAAAATAGTGGCCCCGGTTCCTGCATTTATCTCCGGATTTCTGTCTTCTCCCAAGTCTTGAGTTTATTTTCAATTTGGATAGAATTCCACTCCCTCCTTCTTAAAGCTTCCCGGTTTTCCCTTTACATCTCAATTCCTCAGTTCCCTTTAAACGCTTATCTTCCTCCCACTATGGTGTATTTATGATTTTATCATTTTATTTATGATTTTACAATAGTCATGTATTTGGCCTTCTTTCTACACTATCTTATCCAGGTAGAATGTCAAATATCCACACAACTGGATTTTTCTCTTACCTTTAGCTAGCATGCCTAAAATATGCTTTTCTCCCAAACAAATTGAACATCTTAGAATTTCTTGAAAATGACATGGCTGTGTATTTGTGTATACTGCTCATCCTTGTGTCTTGAAATGCAGCCACAGATATAGCTCCACGGCACAGTGCCTGCCTGGCAAGTGCAAGGTCCTGAGTTCGAGTTCTACTATCAAAAACAAAAACAAACACCTGTTTCTTAAAATGCCCTTAGCTCCCTTGTCCTCCTGGCAGGGTTATTATTTCTTCAGGAGTCAGTGCAGTTCTCCACTCTACTGATTCCCCAGAATGTGAGCCTCACCTTAAAGAAAAAGTACACACATTAATATGTAAACTTACAATTTTTGCAAGGTTATGTATTGATTTTTTGGTGGCATTGAGGAACTAACCTGGGGCCTCATGTATACCAGGTTAAGTACCTTACCACTGAGCTACATCCACAGCTGTTCCACTTATGAGCCTGTTTGAAGTACCTGAAGTAACTTACAACTTCTGCAGTTGTTATCCACATTTTATAGATGAAGAAAGCAACTTGCCCAAAATTATGCAGCAAGTAGCAGCGTGCAGATTTTCAGGCATCTGGCATGGATGTAACCTTCACCACTACATTACGTCTCTATCTTTGTATTGATTATAATCACTTTGTATGTTCAGAACTATTCTGCTAAACCATTGTGATTCAAATGCATACATATAAAATGCAAATAAAGGAAGAGTGTAGGTTCTACTCTCCTTGTTGAAGAGATTAGGCCCCCAAAGGTTAAGTAACTTCTTTCCCATGTCCGTTATGTTAATTATAATTCTCCACCTGCCTATGTTCATGCCCTTTGCAAAATGGCTTAGGGATTCTTCCCATGAAAAATCAGTGTTTCCCCAACCCTTATATCTGGCCTGGCTTTTTTTTTTTTCTGGTACCAGAAATCAAACTCACGACCTCGCACTTGCCAGGCAGGCGCTGTGCCGCTGAGCTAAATCCCCAGCCCTGACCTGGCCTTGTAACGTTTTGATTGCAGTAACTGATGAGTCCGCTCCAAACCTACGCCTTAAGAGCTCTTGTACACTGCTTCTGTCTCTAATTCCGTCTCTCCTCTCCCTCCTCCTATTGCCATGAAAACAAGCCAAGCCAACAGTGGACTCGGGAGAAATGGTTACCGTTGTTTTAAACATTCTGGGGGTAGTCTCTTATGCCTTAGTATGGCTGCAATACTGATTTAGTCAGCTACTTCAGTGGTGGCCACACACGTATAAAGGTGTGGTCCAGTTTGCTACCAATACAGCTTGGTCATTAGGAAGCTAAGAAACACAGTTTGGCTGTGTAAGCAAAGGAAACTGAGAAGGATATGTACCACAGTTCACAATGCACTGTTCAGGCATTATCACAGTTTTCTAAGCAGAAATGCCATAGTGAACTTAAGTGTTTTGAAAATCAGCCCTGTAAGGAATTTACAATCAGCCCTATAAGGAATTTTTTCCAACTTTCATAAAAGACGTATTTTGCTATATCCCCTGCCAAAACAATCTGACACTGAACTGCATACATAGGATTGCACTCTTTTTTGATGAACAGCGTATCTTTTTAAGAGTTTAGTGTCAGGGGGCCGGGGATATAGCTCAGTGGCATAAGCGCCTGCCTGGCAAGCACAAGGCCCCGAGTTTGATTTCTGGTACTAAACAAACAAAAAACAACAAAAAAAGAATTTAGTGTCAGAAATGTAAGTTTAAAGAGCAAAGTAAGAGAGAGGGCAGGAAATAGAAAGGTAAACGAGATGGGAAGGGGTCCTGAGAAAGGGAGACAAGGGCAGGCGGGTAAAGGGGGAGTAAAAATGATCAAAATGTGATACGTATCTATCAGTTCCCCAAGATAAAGGTAATGATTATGTACAACAAATACATACCAATAAAAAAAGAATACTAAGGTGCTTCCATAGGGAACTACACATGGCATTTTCACTATTACTGCAACAGCGGGAAAGGTGCAGTCGGGCCTACGTGTCTAACTACTTAAAATCCCTTTTGGACTCAGGCAGGCCGATTAATAAATGACTGCAAATGACCGCACGAACGCGATTTCTAACCTACCACCAAGTATCAGGTTACGCAAACTTATCCAATCACTAAAACAAGTTCTAGTAGAAAACATAAGATGCACACAACTTGAAGAGAAAAAATTTTTATTGCGATATAAAATGCACTTATAAAATGTCCACAGAGGGCGTGTAATTTTTGACTGCTATATAAATTTATTGGGAAAACGTTATTCACCATCTAGTGCCACCTAAAACATAATATAAACAATGAGTTAGAGTCTAAAACAAACGCATCACTGATTCTCAGCAATCATCGGTCTAATGATTAGTTTAAGATGCTGTGATCACATCTGTGTTCTGGAATGTCCATTTACTATCCCGTAGTGTAGTGGAATTTTGCGTGTAGCTGCACACGAATCTCACTGGAGAGACCCTCACTAGTGAGCTATCTTGTACTCTCCCGACAGGTGACGGGCCTGACTGCAAAGCACAGCCTCAGCTCTGGCCTACAGCG